CTATCTCTTCCTTTTCTCTAACAAAAATAAATCAAGCCTAATTGATGATTTTTTTATTTGTAGGTTGATTTTTACATTTAAATTCTTCTTCAATTGAATTAATATGACAACGAAACTTTTGTTTTTCCTCATTTTAAATTAATTCAAGGAAATTTGAAAAAAAAATGTTGGATAGTTAATAATACTATTAAAATAAACTAAATTTTTTGTGTTGTGTTACATAAAATTTTATTAAAAGTTTTAAATAATTTTGTAATTTAATTTTAATAGAAATTATAGTTCCAATTGTCTAAGTTTAATATAATTTTATTTGAAAATTGATGAAAAAATAATTAATTAATTTTAGTATGACTAATGTAGCACCCGGAAAGGAGGAGAAAAAAAAAAAAAAAAAAAAAAAAAAAAGGGGGGGGGCCACGTCAGCAGCCACGTCAGCAGGCCCGGTCAGTAGTCCCGGCCAACCGGGGCCTGCCACGTGGCAAGATCGCGTCACTCCGAAAGGAGCCACGTTGGCGATCCGTGTGGGTGCGATCCGACGGCCCAGATCAATCACGCGATCGGACGGCCCAGATTCAAACGCACGGACGGCCCAGATTCAATCAAAAACGAACGGCCCAGATTAAAACGAAACGAACGGCTGTGATCAAAAGGCAAGGGGTTATAAATAGAACCCCCACACCAGACCAAAAACCCTAGCCGCCAGCCGCTCGCCGGAGAAGACGAACCAGAGGCCGACCGCCGCCACCCGCCGCCACTCGCCGCCGCACCGGGGAAATTTCCGACCGCCGTCGAGGTAAATTTCATACCCCCGACTCGTTTTTCCCCACTGATTCCTCCTATGGCCAAATCGAAGCCGAAATCCCGGCCAAACGGTCGGAATACGCGGCCGAAGCCCAGCGGCGCCGCCGCGCCCCCTCTCTCGGTTTTTGCCTCCGACGAGGCCCTTCCCGGCCTCCGTTCGATGCAATTTTTATATCACCGTGATCACCATTCTTTTCTCTACAGGTTGACCGGAGCCGAATCACCAAAACACGAACCTCGCCGGAGAGCCGCTGCACCCGAGAGTGCCGCCGCCGGTAAGCTCCGCTTTTCCGTGATTTTTTGGCCCCCCGAGGGCCCTACGGTTGTTTTCTGACAAGGACCAATGCGAGTGTGGCCGAATTCGGCCAAAAACGGCCGAAAACAGTCAACCCGAGGCGACTCGCCGCCGCCAACGGCGGCGCCGTCGCCGGAGCACGGCGGAGCCGCCGTGCCGGAGTTGCGATTTGGGCCGAAGGAGGCCCTGGGCCTAATTTGGATTTTTTTTTTGGAACACGTGCAGGTACTGTTAGTGTGTTTCAGTTTCCCGGGAAAAATTCAGGGAAAATTAGGGACGGCCTGCAGGCGCGCTGTGAATCGTATTCGGATCTCGAAAACAAGTAAGGACCCCTCACCCTATTTCCTATCACGGTATTAAAGTTCAAAATGATAAAACGGTATTTCTTGAATTAACGCATGTGTGAATGCTTAAGTGCTAATGGAGCCCGAGTCTAGTGTGATGATGATTGACTGTTATTTGGCATGTTTACACTG